AGGGGGGAGGCTGGGAAGGGATGGGAAGGGTAAACAAAGGAGGGGGCTGCAATGCTTGGTAAGAAATGTACGCATTATCCTGCCCATGCAATTGTAACCCTTCTGTACAGTATGTTCGCAAATAAAATAAAATTAAATTAAAAAAAAAGAAAATGTGGCCTATATATATATATATATGTATGTATGTATGTATGTATGTATACATATATATATATATATATATGAATTCTATGCCTCCATCAGAAAGAATGACACCACCCCATTTGTTAGGAAATGGAAAGACTTGGAAAAAATTATACTAAGTGAAGTAAGCCAGGTCTAAAGAAACATAGGTCCCATGGTTTCCCTTATTTGCAATAACTAGTATATGTCTAAGATAATCTTACCAGACAAGCAGAAAAGGTCAAAAGCTATGCACGTATGACCATATAAGATGATGCTAAGAGAAATGAACCCCAAGATAGAGACACAAGGTTTTATCTTTGTGGCTGTTGCTTTTAATGTACTTATAATGTACTATGTAATTTTTTTTCTTTCTTTTGTATGTTCTTCCCTGATGGTTTAACCCTGTTTTCACTGTATTTGATTCCAGTGTTCTGTATCTTGTATATACATTTTTCTAATTTGGGGAGGGGAAGGGAAATAACAAAAGGGTGAAACAAGGATGCAGATCGACCCATTGTAACAATAAAATGTACAAGACACTGTTGAAAATGAATTTTACAACTTTGGTGGGGGGAGGAGTTGGAGAGGTGGGGCAGGAAGGGATGGTAGGGGAAAAACAAAGAAAGAGGTAACAAAGCTGGGTAGGAAATGTACTCATTACCTTATTCATGTAACTGTAACCCCTCTGTACAGTATCTTTACAATAAAAATACATGTTAAAAAATTAAGTAAAATAGGAGCCTCAGACCTGCACTCTTATCGCCCTCAAATTAAAATCCTTAAAATGGTAATAAGTCTCCGTGAAGGAGAAACTCAGAAAGTCTAGCCACTGGCAAATGAAACTGACACGGAAGCCTATTTCTTTTCCTTCCTTCCTTCCTTTCTTTCCTTCTTCCTTCCTTCCTTTCTTCCTTCCTTCCTTCTTTCCTTGCTTTCTTGTTTGCTTGCTTCTGTCTTCCTTTCTTTTACAAGGTGGCTTGAACTCAGGGCCTGGGTGCTGTCCCTGAATGTGTGTGTGTGTTTGTCTGTGTTTGTCTGTGTGTGTGTGTGTGTGTGTGTGTGTGTGTGTGTGTGTTTCTCAAGTGGTTTACCATTTGAACCACAGCTCCACTTCTGGCTTTTCAGTGGTTAGATACAGATAAGAGACTTAGGTATTTTCCTGCCTGGTTGGTTTTAAACAATGATCCTTAGATCTCAGACTTTTGAAAGACTTTTGAATAGCTAGGATTACAGATGGGCTCTTGACTTGTGAACTGCTCCAATATGGGCTGCATAGGGAGAAGAAATTGAGATGAATCTTCATCTTATGTATCTTCACAGAAAATACTATTTCTAAAAGAGCACATATAGTATGATCCTATATACAAATTATACCTGTATGTTAATGGTAGTTCTTCATTATCAAAGTAAAATTCTCATACACATATTTTTGTCTTATCTACATACACACATTTTTCTATGAACAGTATATATTACTTTTATTGTGGAAAAATGACTGATTTTTTTTTTGTCAGTCATGGGGCTTGCACTGTCCCTGTGCTCTTCAGCGCAAAGTGAGCACTCTACCACTTGAGCCACACTGTCACTCCCAGTTTTCTAGTGGTTTATTGGAGATAAGAATCTCACAGACTTTCCTGCCAGGGCTGGCTTTAAACTGTGATCCTCAGATCTCAGGTTCCTAAGTAGTTAGGATTACAGGTATGAGCCACTGGCATCGGGCTTTGACTGATATTTTAATACTATACTTTTATTATCTTGTTGCAAAACTTCTGATCTAAGAATGTTACAAAACATATTGCAAAATTATGACCTATGGTTGAATTTTATTAGCCTTTATTATCTAAGTTAGTTTCCTTATTTGTGCAAAGGGATGTCACTTATCAAAGATATCACATGCTCAGAGAAGAGGAAAAACAAAGGCATATAGCACTCATTTCTCATATGTGTAATGAGTTCAGCAATGAGGAAGAAAAGTCAACTTTCTAATTGCATTATAACATAAGCATTACTAAGCAAGTACCTAGAACATCAAGAAAAAAGAAATATTACAGTACTATTAAGACAATCCAAGTATAATGTATCTTAAAATATTGTATTCTTATCTGAACAAAGTAGAAGTAGATTGATAAATTCCATATACTCAAACTGTATTTCACAAACACATCTGTCATACATTCACAGATTAATCTCTGTATGGCTGATTTAAAATGTAATATTAACTTCAAATGCAAAAATGGCAATGTGTTTTCATATACTCATCATTTATAATCAGCATTTGTAGGGATTAGAATACATGATCAATATAAGTATTACAGCTTAGTTCAATAAGCCAGGAAACTTTCTTTAATGAAGGCTGATTCACTAGATCATGAAGCACTGGGAGATTGGAGAGGATGCCTGAGAGGTTTCTCTGATAATGGGAAGGAGATGGGCAATTTCCCTGTGGAACAGAAGCCATAGTTGACAGCACAGACATCTCTAGCCCTTCCTTAGAGAATGAAGCAGAGCAGGTACAAAGGTAGCACATGAGTAACCCACTGGTTACTGGGCCAATGTCCATATCTTTTGGGTCAAACAAGGATTTCAGGTTAAAATTCTGTAAAATTGTAATCAGGAACAAAAATAGCTCCATGTGGGCCAGATCCTCTCTCACACATACTTGTTTTCCTGAAAAATAAAGTTTCAAGCCCCATCATCCTGTTAATAAGACAGGACCTATGTCCTATATCAAGGACAGTGTACAGTTTCTCAGCTTACTGACCATTGGCCACATTATTTCTCAGGATAATCAGTATTTTTATAACGCATATAAAAATACAGTAATGCTCTCCTCCAACTGTATATTTTTCAATAGGCTATCTTCAAGCTCACAAATCATTTCTTCTAGCTGATCTATAGTTGTATTTATGTCTTTACTTTAAGTTGACTTAGTACATTTATCACCTCCAAGATTTCTCTCTCTTTTTTTCCTTCCAACTCTTTGGTCTGTTTTTGTATTAGAGTTTTTAATTATTTGTCTATGTGTTCTTGAAGTTTGTTGGGTATTGTTCATACAGATTTTTTTGTTTTCTATCTTTCAGCCATACTATACAGATTACTATCTGGTCAGTTCGGGGAATCTTAATTTTAACTGCTACATGTTAATTTTAACTACTTTCTGAAAAGTCTTGATGCTTTAGGTTGAAAAATCATCTGGGAAGTCAAAGACCAAGTGCTTTCTTTCCAGTGTTCATAACAAGGCTTTGTTTGCGTTTGTCTCTCAAGAAATTCTAAGCAGACTGCTAGTTTCATCACAGTCTATAGACACTTTCTTTATTTCAAAGCCAATTGGCCTGTAAATCAGATACCTATGTACTGTCTCTGATTATGCACTAGAGGATAACCCAAGCCCAAGTTTGTCCCAAGTATAGTGAATGAACCAGGAAAGGCTCTAGAGAAGATATTCGATACCCAGAAGCCTCTCCATGAGAAATGGGATAAGCCCAGATGCCTCCTCTACAGTCTGTGGTCCAGCACTACAGGATCCTGTCTGACTCTAGGTAGAATCATCATGGGTGGACAAGCTCCAGGTTCCTATACCACAGCTGTGGAAACCAGTACCACCAGGCTATATTACATGGCATACTGCTATGGGGCTGCCTACTGGTTAGGTGGACTTGTGGCTTAATACCTCAGCAATCAGCACAGGTAATGCTGGCTGGACAGGTGTCCAATGGGTTGTGCCCACATGTATCTGTCTGCCATCAAGGCTGTTGCAGATGCTCTATGTGGAAGTATGCTGGGAGATGAGAGTCATTGGGATCTGCCTAGTGTTTAGGTTTCATATGTTTAGCATTAACTTCCAGCATAAAGTGAAGGGCTAACTATGCTACCCCACATCCACCAAATGTGGTCTTGCTTCAGGCTGTGATGCTCCATTCTGGGAAAGTGTTGGTAAAGGGAATCCTTTGGCTTCTTAGGCTGATACTAAGCTGGCTCATTCCAGAATCTCACAGTTCTAGGGCTTGCATAATCATAGGAGTGCATTGAGGCTTCTGCTCTGGCTGGCAATGATTCAGACCAAGATGCAAGTTGACCCAGTAGAGTACAATAGGTCTTTCTCTACTGCTAGGGCAGATCAAGAGCTCTATCTGAAAGCACTGGCTGGTGAGAGCTGTCCTGCCAGAAGTAGAAGAATTGGAGATAAGGCCATGGGCATCAAGGCTGATGCTAAGCCAGATTTTTCTAGAGTCTCATAGACATTGGGACTCTCACAGTCCTTTGGGTAGGCAAAAAAAGATATGTCCCACCGGTGTGCAGGCCTGGATGGTACTATGGGAGCAGGTAGATAGATTTCTCTGTAAGCTCTGAACTGCATAAGGGACATTGATTTCTGCTTTGTGCAGACCTGACATTGAGCTCCAGTCCTGTGCTTGCTTTCAAGCCCTGTTCCCCAGCATGTGGAGTCTTGCTCTCATGCTTTGCTGCCTGAGGTTGAAGGAAGAATAGTGAAGTCAGTTGCTGCCAACTACTTAACACAGTACTAGGGGCTTAATCTGCCAGTGCTGGGCTAGCAATAGAGGTCTACTTGTCAATGGCCTTCACCATAGTGGGCCTGATATTAGATTTCAGGTCTAAGGTCTGTATTTAATTCTTCCTCCCTCCTCTTGGAACTGGAGGAATGACTTCTTTTTGCTATACTAAAAGTAGGCAGTATGCATTCTCACCTGGTTTCCTTTGTTCTTATGGAGGTTATTTGGTGCATGAATAGCTGGTCACCTTATTGTGATTTGGAGTGGGGAGGGACAACCCACGGAGCTTACTTAATCACCATCATAATCTGCTTCCTGAAATACTCTTGTATTGTTCTCTTTAATGTTCTTAGTATCAGTAGTAATGGCCCTTTTTGTGCCTGTGTGTATACCAGTCCTGGGGCTTGAACTGAGAGCCTGCCTGGATGCTGTCTGTTACCACTTGAGCCACAGTTCTATTTCTGACTTTTAGGTGATTAATTGGAGATAAGAGTCTCAGGAGCTTCCCTCCCTGGGCTGGCTTTGAACCACCATCTCTAGATCTCAGCTTCCTGGGTAGGATTATAGGCATGAGCCACTGGTGCCCAGATAGTAATGGCCTTTTAAAATTTCTGATATGAGCTAAATATGTCTTTTCTCTTTTGTTCTTCATTGGACTAGTTAAAGATTCTTGATATATAATTGCATATAATCAACTTTTGGTGTTTCGTATTGTTATTTATTTTGACTTCCCATTGCACATATCATGATTTTGAAACTGGGCTTTCTTTTTCTTTGCTACTGCTTACTTTAAATGTAATAATGCTTTTCTTTCATGGTGGTATATGTCTGTCTCCTACCTATGTAAGAAGCATAAAAAAGGCAGAGCACTATGAAAGCAAACCTGAACACAAACAGAGATCACTACAACAAAAAACAGCTGATGGCATGAAGCACCAACTAACAGGCACAAAGCTCTCAGTTTCACCAACGACATAACCAAAAGAATTCCAATTTCTACGTATTCTCGCCAATACTCAATATTTTCTAGCTTTGCTTTTTTAATTTTCATTTTGTAATGGCCATCTTAGTAACTTAGAGGTGGTGTCTCATTTTTCATTTCTTATGTGTATTATACACAAAGAAGCCTGACTACAGGACCAGCACTTAATAATGCCTTTTACTTGGAACAAACAGAGCAGAAATGGCAACATATTGTCATATATGAACCATTTAGTTGTTTTACATTAACAACATATGAATAATCAGTGTGCAATAGGGATTAGAATACATTGTCAATACAAGTACTAAAGCTTATTTCAATGAGCCAGGAAACTTTATTTAATGAAGGCTGATTCACTAGATTATGAGGTACTGGGAGGTTGGAGAGGACACCTGACAGGTTTCTTTTATAATGAGAAGGAGGTGGGCAATATCCCCAGTGGAACAGACCACAGTTGACAGCACAGACATCTCCAGGCAGCCTGCCATTTTTCAGAAAGGAATGAAGCAGAGTTGGTACAAAGGTGGCACACGGCCATACGTACTGGCTATTGGGCCAGTGTTGATATCCTTTGGGTCAAACAATGGTTTCAGGTTAAAATTCTGTAAAATTGTAGTCAGAAACAAAAACAGCTCCATGCGGGCCAGACCCTCTCCAACACATGCCCGTTTTCCTGAAAAATAAAAATTATAAGTCTCTCCTTAAAAACAAATTTCTGAGCTGTTAACAAAAGTATGCATTCACTAGTTGGTGATGTTTGGATACATGTGTGGAGAGTACAGGACAGCAGAAAGAATGGCTGGATAGATAGACGGACACAACATTAGACACATTTGCTGTCTACATTACATCATATTTTATCAGGTATCTTTCATTTACCAGCATTGTATTATAACTTCAATATCTATTCATACCCTAAAACTATTCTTTTAACATTTTAAGTTTTCATCTATGTCTAGAAACATATTCACATTTATTGATCATTAAGCTGAAGGAAGAAAGGCTGAGAGGAGGAGGCTCAAATATGTACCCCTAGTATAATTTCAAGATTACTTAAATGTGAACTTTTGATACTTTAAAACTTTTTTTTTTTGGCTGGTCATGGGGCCTGAACTCTGGGCCTGGGCACTCTTCCATAGCTCTTCAACTCAAGGCTAGCACTCTACCACTTGAGCCACAGCACCACTTCCAGCTTTTTTGCTTATGTGGTGCTGAGGAATTGAACCCAGGGCCTCATGCATGCAAGGTAGACACTCTACCACTGAGCCACCTTCCCAGCCCCTGATACTTGAAAACTTTAAAGGACTCCTCTTACTGTCCTACTGAGAGAAAGTCTAAGTAGGTCCCCCTGGCCATTTATGTTCTGTTCCTGTCTAGTATCCAAGTTTATTCCCTCCATCCCTCACATTTCTACTCCCAGCTCTGTGCATGGCCCTGCCTTACCCATCTCCAATTCCATGAAGTTTCAAGATTCATGGTTTCAAGCTATAATAAAACATGACCTATGTCCTATGTCATTTCCTCAGGGGCAGTGCTAGGTCCTAAGTTCAAGAACAGAACTGTAAAAAAAAAAATAAAAAGAAAGAGAGAGAGAAAGAAAAAGAGACAGAGAAAGACAGAAAGAAGGAAAGAAAGAGAAAGACAGGAAGGAAGGAAGGAAGGAAGGAAGGAAAGAAGGAAAAGAAAAACAAAAAAAAGAAGGAATGTGGACAATGACTCTCTTTAGCTCCCCAGAAACCTGTATGTCCTTCCCTCACAGCACTAGTCTCAGTAGGTTTCAGTGATCAGCTTCCCTAAAGAACTTTACAACCTGGGCTGAGGTGGGGGCAAATTGGATGGGAGGAAAAGTGGGGGAAAATGAGGAGCCTATTGTGTTCTCTAAGGTTTACATCCCCAGACCTTAGTCTGGAAGTGAGGAGTACCACAGGACAGATACTCAAACTGTCAGGTAGCTTTCTCAGGGCAAGGAAGTCTGAATCTCACTTCTAAGAGGAATTCCTGGGCAGCTCTATCACATTTCCAGAGGCAGAATTCAAGTGTACTCGACTCTTCCTCAAAATGGGGATATTAGGTGAGACATTCCACACAGCCCCATTAATATGGCCCATAAATGAGGACAGATCATGATTTTTTTTAAAAAAGTTGTGCAATGGGGTGGTCCTCTCGATGATGCACAAATAGCAACTTGTCCTGCCACAGAGGAGGCACCATGGAAGCTCCAGTTGGTCTCAAATGTTTATTTTCTGGAGCTAGACAATATACAAATCTCAGATTCCTAGGTGGTAAGGCTTGGATTGGGATTGATTTCATGGGTTCAGGTCCAACTAGGGCAACATAATGCCTCAAAAAAGTTATCTTAAAAGTGGGAGAGAAGCTGAGCACTGGTGGCTCATGTCTGTAAGCTTATTCAGGAGGCTGATATGGGAGAATCATGGTTCAAAGCCAGCTAAGCAGGAAAGTCTGTTCAAAGCTAGCCTGGGCAGGAAAAGTCTGAGACTCTTATCTCCAGTAACTACCAGAAAACCAGAAGTCACACTGTGCCTCAAGATGGCAGAGCACTAGCAAAGCAGTTCAGAGTCAGCACCCAGGCCTCAATTTCAAGCCAAATGACCAACAAACAACCAAAAAAAAAAAAAAAATGGGAGGGAGCAAGAAAGGGATGACATTGTCCAAAAATGAAATGTACTCAACCTGACTTGTGCAACTGTAACTCCTTTGCATATCACCTTTATAATAACAATTTAAAATTTTAAAAAATTAATCTTGTTTTTAATACACAAATATATATGAGTTTTTATTACCTGTTGAGAAAGGTAAGAAGTAATTACTTTTTTTGAAGTTTCCAGACTCATCCATAAAGTGGCCAGGGTCAAACTTCTCTGGGTTGGAGAACTCCTTGTTGTCATACAACACAGATGTCAAAGATGTTATTAGGTTGGTGCCCTGGAAACAACAGATTAAAGTATGTAATAAGGAGTTTAAGCAATGGAAAGAAATGATAAAACTCATATCATCCTTAGATGATGTTTTTGATCTATCAAGGGGAACGCTAGACCCAAAAAACAGCAGTAATATTTCCACACAGGCAGACCACGGTCCTGGCTTTGCTACTGTGATTTCTATTATAAGATCAAGGATTCACTACTTGGAAATTTGAATACAAAACCTCAATCTTGTTAGTTGAAAGGCTCAAGTGTCAGAGTGCTTGCCTGAGTTCAAATCTGAGTATTGCACAAAAGAAAACACCTGTGAAATCTCCTCTACTATCACCAAGCACGGCCACTGGTGTCTATTCTTGCCTGTTGAGCTATTTAATTACTTCAGTTACACAGTTCACATGGATGATGGCTTAAAATTGAAGCTCACACTTGAAAAGTCAAGGGTATTTAAAATTCTTTCATTTGGACTTTCATATGCAGACATAATCTAATTAATGATGATTATCTAGGATGATATGAACAGGTACAGTAACACCTACTGAATGTTTATCATTGGAATTTAATATTTGTTTCCTATAATCTAAAATGTGGGGACCTCATCACATAGACTCATACTAAAGTACTTAAACTTTAAGTGAATTAGACTAGAGGGATGATAGATGCATAGGTATATACATAGATACATGCATATATAATACATATATACATATACATTAATTCTTAGATGGATAGATTAAAATGTACATGTATACACTTTATATATTTTATTATGTATCAATGTACACATTTTTAAATTTTAAATTACATATATATTGGTATCCTAATTCAAAGTTGGAAGAGATGTTTCATTCTCCTAAGCTTATCATATTTAGGTCAATAATATTATTTTAAAAACAATTTCATATTACATGTTTGGTTTGTTGGTTTGTTCTGGTTTGGTTTGGTTTTTTTGGTTGATTGTGAGGCCTGAACTCTGGATCTGGGTGCTGTCCTTCAGCTCTTCAGCTCAAGGCTAGCCCTCTACCACTTGAGCCACAGAACCACTTCCAGCTTTTTCTGCTTAAGTGGTGCTGAGGAATTGAACCCAGGGCCGCATGCATGCAAGGCAAGCACTCTTACCACTGAGCCACCTTCCCAGCCCCCTCATATTACATGTTTAAGAGTCTAACTTCATATATTTTCAAAGAAGTAACTTCCAAGAATGTAATTTTAAGTTGCAAAAGAAGGTACATTTCTCCAAAGGATAACAAGATGCTAGATATCCATGAAGAATAAATTGATGGATGTGAAGGTGTTGGATAAGAAGACTTACTTGCTTGATTCTGTGGCTGAGAAGATTCAGAATACTAAAGAAGAGAGGAGACCATGGAGAGGGGGCAGAAAGGAAGAGAGGGAGAGATGGAAAAAGGGAGGAAGAGAAGAAGACAAGACAATGAATTATAAACTTAAAGATGAGATAAATGAATTAGAACATCCAGAAAATTGTTATGAATAAGAAAGTATGAACTGAGCCGGGCTCCGGTGGCTCACACCTCTAATCATAGCTACTCAGGAGGCTGAGATCTGAGGATCACTGTTCAAAGCCAGCCTGGGCAGGAAAGTCCGTGAAACTCTTATCTCCAATAAACTACCAGAAAACCGGAGTGGCACTGTAGCTCAAATGGTAGAGCACTAGCCTTGAGCTGAAGAGCTGAGGGACAGCACTCAGGCCCAGAGTTCAAGGCCCATGACCGACAAAAAAAAAAAAGTATGAACTGCAAAATCCCAGACCTCTGGGACACCAGTGAAAGGTCAAACCAAGTATGGTCATAGAACAAGACATGCAAACTAAGAGCCTAGAAAATATATCCAAGAAAATAGTAAGAGAAATTTCCCCAAATCTTGGGAAAGAGACATGCACCCAAGACTTAACAAAGACAAGACCAAGAAAGGAGCTTCCCACATCATGTTATAGTTTAAGAACTGAGAATATTAAATAAGGAAATAATGATGAAAGCTTCAAGAGAGAAGCTACCGTGTCACATGCAAATGCAAACTCATCAGAATAAGCAGATTTCAAAATAGGAACCCTAAGAACAGAGAGGAAATGAATCAAACATACTGTGACTTGAAGTAAAAAACCTGCCAATATACATTACTCTAGTCAGAAAAACTATCCTTCATAAATAAAATAGAAATAAAACTCTTCAATGTCAAACAGAATTAATAGAATTCATGACAAGTAAGCCAGTACTACAGAAGACACTTTAAAGATCCCTACACACAGAAGATGATGATAAGCTCAGAAACACCATATGAGAAAGAATAAATTACAGTAGATGATTGCATTAAAATGAGGGTTAGCAAAAAATTAAACATTGAAAACAATAAAATGAGAGTATACATATTTTTCAATAATACCTTTCAGTAATAACTCTGAATACCAATGGTCTCAGTACTCTAATCAAAAACTAGTGTGGAGAAAATAGAGTATGCACATTTGAAATAATAAAAATAGACCTTTATCTAAACAGTTATGCAAGTCAACTGAAAATGAAATAAAGACTTCAATGTATGACTAGAGATAGTGTCTCAGGCCTTTAGTTCTAGTTACTTGGGACATAGAGACTGGGGAGATCATGGTTCAAAGCAAGCCAAGACAAAAAGTTAGCAAGATCCTATCTCAACAAACAAGATAGGCATGGTGGGGTGCACCTATAACCCAAGCTATACAGGTGAATAGGTAGGACTATTATGGACTGAGGCCATCCTCCAACACAAAAAAAGTAAAATGAAGCAAGAAGGGCTGGAGGTTTGGCTCAAGTAGGACAGCACTTCCTTGGCAAACTCAAGGCTCTCAGTTCAAACACCAGAATCACACACACAAAAAAAGACTTTAGTCTTAAATGTAGGACCTGAAACAATAAAACCAGTAGAAGAAAATAAGGAGAGTGAGAAGCTGAGAAGACAGTGCTGATTACTGAAAGGTGAGAGGACAGGGAGTCAGGGTGAGGAGTGGGGCAGCATGCTCAATGATCACTCACTCATAGACAGAAGTAGAAGTTCTGATGTGTTATTGCCTAGTGAGTTGGCTGTAGATGGTGACTACATATTGTTACCTCAGAAGCAAGGACTTTGTAATTTCTTCATAGGGAGCTGGTAAAGTATCTGAGGAGATACCTGATCACACAATGAGCATGTGCCTGAATATAAGCATACCAAGAAACCCCATTCATAGGTATAATTTATATGAGTTTTTTGTCTTTTTTGGTACTGGGGATCGAACCCAGGACCTTGCACTTGCTAGGCAAGCACTTTGCCACTGAGCTACATCCCAGCCCAATTTATATGATTTTTAAGTACTACATAATTTGACTTTTTAACTTAAAGATAAGAGAAAAGTCATGTGAGTTGGAATATAAACATTAAGCCAGATAACATTACATGCATAAGGAAATTAATCTACAAGTAATTAACAATGATGAATAGTTTTAACAAGGTTAGCTAGGTGAAAGTCATCAAAATAATGAGGTCAATTATCCTGCCACATACACAAAACAGAGTGGAATTTTTTTTGTCTTGATTTTGTCTTGATTTGAACTCAGGGTCTCTTGCTCAGCTGGTATTCTACCATTTGAGATACTCCTCTGGCATGAGTTTTTGCAGGTTATTTTGAAATTGAGTCTTGTGGATTTTTCTGCTTGGACTGGTCTTGAACTTGGATTTCAACCTCCTGAGTAGCTAGAACTATAGAAGTATGCCCTCAGTGTCCAGCTCAAAAAACAAAGTGCTTTTATTTAATTTATTTTTATTTTTCTGTTGATTGTGAGGCTTGAACTCGGCTTGGGCGCTGTCCCTGTGCTCTTCAGCTCAAGGTGAGCACTCTACTACTTGAGCCACAGCGCCACTTCCGGTTTTCTAGTGGTTTATTGGAGATAAGAGTCTCACAGACTTTCCTGCCCTGGCTGGCTTTGAACCGCGATTCTCAGATCTCAGCCTCCTGGGTAGCTAGGATTACAGGTGTGAGCCACTGGTGCCCCACCTCAAAGTGCTTTTAAAAGTTCACAATTGGGCTGGGAAGGTGGCTCAGTGGTAGAGCACTTGCCTTGCATGCATGAGGCCCTGGGTTCAATTCCTTAGCATCACATAAGCAAAAAAGAAAAAAGCCGGAAGTGGCACTGTGGCTCAAGTGGTAGAACGCTAGCCTTGAGCTGAAGAGTTGAGGGACAGTGCCCAGGCCCAGAGTTCAGACCCCCCGACTGGACCCAAAAAAAAAAAAAAAAAAGAATCTCACAAAAGTTCACAATTATCATGAGCTTTTCAATCTCATTTATTTAGGACAAAAGAAATAGATTGCAAGTCATTGCACTGAAAATACAATAATACTGAGAAAAAAATCTTAAGACCCAAATACATTGGTAACATAATCTTTTGCATGAATTGAAAGATTTAACATGCTAAAATATTGATAATTTTCTAATTAATCTCTATATTAATAACACGCTGATGTTTAAATGTCATAAAAGGTATCTGAGAAATTGACAAATTGTATTTTTAACATTTATTTGGAGCTATAAATACTTGAAAATATCCCCCAAAAAAGTATTAAAGAAGAATAGATTTGGAAGACACCAGCTATCAAAATGTTACAAAGTTTTATTGTAACTCCAAACTGAAAACAGCACAAAATCATAGAGTCTGCCTTTCATACAGCTTTCACACTTTCTTCATCTTATAATAGTAAAGGTCTAAAACCGTATCATGAGTCCAGAAACTACAAGAAAACTAAAATGCAATGTAGGAGAAAGAAGCTTACCTTGGGGATGAGATAGTCTCTGAATCTAATGTCACAGATAGCTGCATGGGGCACATTGTTGGGGATGAGGTCAATGTATCTCTGGATCTCATGCACAGTTGCATCTGTGTAGGGCATGCGACTCCTGTCCTGCATACATGGGCTCCTGTGCCGGCCAATTACACGTTCAATCTCTTCCTGGGCTTTAGCTGATAAGATGCAATTAAGAAATGGTAAGATAAGAGAAAAATGACACAGTTGGCAGTAATCCGAGCCTGGCTGATAAGACATAGGATGAAGCTGTGTCAAAGGAAGTAAATTCACTTAGAATTAGAGAAAAATGTGACAAGGTAATCATACAGATAGCTCTACTACTATACAGGCACTAAAATCTACAGACACCATACATTACTGTACAGGGTAGTTAATGCAAATAGACGAGTGAAAATGTTCCAATACCTAAATATCTAGCACATGTGACTGCAAACATTACTATCCTTATAGACACAAAAGCAGAAAACATGAATTAATTTTACATCAAAATAATAATAATGCCCTAAAACTGAATGGCACTAATTTTTTTTTTTTTGTTCACAGGACCTGAACTCTGAGCCTGGGCACTGTCCCTCAGCTCTTCAGCTCAAGGCAAGCACTCTACCACTTGAGCCACAGCACCACTTCTGGCTTTTTCTGCTTTGTGGTGCTGAGGAATTGAACCCAGGGCCTCATGCATGCAAGGCAAGCACTCCACCACTGAGCCACCTTCCCAGCCCCAGGCACTAACATTTTTATGTGTATATATGGGTATATATGTATGTACGTTTGTATATGTATACACTTAACAACTCCTAAGGGTATCCTCTTTCATCTTCATCCTCCCCGTCGATATTCATGAGAGAGAGAGAGAGAGAGAGAGAGTACTGTATTTTGAACTCAGGGTCTTATACTCTTGCTCACTTCTTTATGCTCACAGCTGGTACTCTACCACTTGACTCATACCTAGTTCCAGTATTTTGCTGATTAGTTGGAGTTAAGAGTTGCTCAGTTTCAACTGCTAGGGCTGGCTTCAAATTGCGATCCTTGGATCTCAACCTCCTGAATGCTAGGATTATAGGTATTAAGGTTGCAAAAGATTTCAGAATTCAAACAGACTCTTACTTAGTACTTCCTTACAACTCTGCAGCTGACTCTTTCTCTATCTCACTTTGTGCCTGTATGACTGAGCCTCTTGGGAGCTCAGTTAGTCTGAGTTACCCTTATAATGCATCTGGGAGAAAAGATCTACCTGATTAAGTGGTGATGTGGAGAAAACCTGGGTAAGGAGAGTCTCTTATTGTAATTTCCTTCTCCCTCTACCTCCTTTGGCACTTAGTTCTTCAATATACTGAACTTTATAGCAATTATAGTGATACAAACTGGCCTATTCATCTATAATAAATCTTCTATTATGACACTTAGGGTACAATTTCAACTTCTTTGCCCAGATAATTACCTGTCCACTTCAGTGTTTTAGGTTTTTAAAGGCTTGCTGACTGTTCACTACACTCTTCTTCTCCAATTTATACAAAAACAATTCTCATTTGTAATTAATGACCATTTAAGTAGGATCCTAACCCAGAAAACCATATGCCATATGGCTAATGATCTGTCATTTGCTAACTTTTGCTAGAACATAAACAAAAAATAAAAATTGTTTGTAAAAGTTAAATTATTGACCCTCAAAAATATTCTCCAAGCCTATCACTGGTGGCTTAAGTCTATCATCTAGCTACCCAAGAGGCTGAGGTCTGAGGATCATGGTTTGAAGCCTGCACAGGTTGTAAAGTCCATAAGTCTCTCCAATTAGCTACCAAAAAAGCTGGAAATGGAGCTGTTGCTCAAGGGGAAAAGTGCTAGCCTTGAGTTCTAAAGACAGCACCTAAGCACCAACTTCAAGCCCCAGAACTGGCAAAACAAAAAAAGAAAAGAAAGAGTTGTAACACCTTTATACCATTATTTAAAGAGAATAAAAATATAAAACATGCCTAAGCAAGAGCCCTTGAGTTCAAATCCTAGTACCAGCACAAAAGGAGGATGGGGAGAATCTAGGGACTAGCACTGTCTCCTCTTCATTTCTGTGAACTTACCTATGACCTCCGGGTGTTTCAGCAGGAGCAGGAGTCCATATCTCAGAGTAGTGCTTGTTGTCTCAGTTCCAGCTACAAACACATCATTTACACTGGCCACCAAGCTCTCAAGGTCAAACTCAGACTGCTGATTATGTTTTTCCTAGGAGTTTGTGATTATTAGTTACCATAGCAAATTATAACAAACACAAAACAATCTAGTTTGTATAAAGATAAGCAAACTTTGAAAATGGATAGCAGATATACTTACTATAGCAACTACTTTGTATGGAAGAAAATGTAAATTACTTGGCACAATCCTCATTTTCTACACACCATATTTCTTGTTGCCCTCCCTTAAAATTCCATTTTCTATGTTCTTTACAGCTATGTTGGCCATGCAAATGACATAGAGAAAGAACCTCTGTTGCTATTTTTCCCTTCTTCTCATATATGACAGTAAAGTGGTATAAGTATCACCTTGGAACATGAGTATTTAAAGAATAAAGGCTAGATTCATAAAAGTCCAAGCATCAGTGGCTTAAGCTTCAAATCTTAGCTGCTCAGGAGGCTGAGATCTGAGGATTGCAGTTCAAAGCCGGCCCAGGTAAGAAAGTCCATGGGAACTGTGGTTCAAATAGTGGGTCATTAGCCATGAGTGAAAAAGCTCAAGGACAACATTACCCAGGCCTTATGTTCAAGCTCCAGGACCAGCAAATACACACACACACACACACGTAAAGGGAGTACTATTAGGAAAGAGGAAAGAGAGCAAGGGAGTAAGTAGGAAGAAGACAAGAGAGGAATGGGGGGAATTGAATACAAACAAAATACATTGTACATGTATTAAAATGACAGAATAAAGTGTATTATTTCATGCAAAAACAAATTCTTAAACTGCAATGTTTAAATACTTCAAAAATATGCAAATAAAATCAAAATGTTACCAAAATAGAAAATAAGTTTATATTCTGAACACATTACAGAAATCCAAGTAATAAAACATTTTAAAAAATATAGTATACAGTGATATTCACAAGACAATATGTTGGAAATGAACTTGGGGGGGGGGAATTTGAGGGGAGGGAAAATGGAAGAAAAATAAGGGGAGGATAACAAGTTTGACAAGAAATGTACTCACTATCTTATGTATGTAACTGTAACCCCTCTGTATATCACCTTGACAATAAAATTAAATTTAAAAAATATGTATATATTATACAGGAAACAGCCACTGGTAATTGAAGTGCCAAAGGTCATTGATCCCACTGTAAGCCAGCATTTATAACAATACTTTACAACCAAAGGGGGGTAGGGTAACAATGCCTGACAAGAAATGTACTCATTACCTTAATTGTAACACCTCTGTACAGCATCTTTACAATAAAATAATGAAAAAGAAACTCTTTAAATGTGTTCAAAATAAGAACTCAAGCAAGTCCATTCTGTTGGTAAGGTGTCCATACTTTAACTGGATTTTCCAATTAATTTAGACCAAAGAAGATAAGAATCACTGCCATAGTCTGACCAAAAAAAGTTAATTTCATTAATTCTTCCCCCAAGTTTTTAAAATTATTCCCTCTTCTTCACATTATTCCATCAAGAACACATGCCCAACCCAAATAGACAATTTTCTGAAGGTCACCTTCACCAGCTCTTTGGGTCCTTGCTACTACAGTCTAATCATGGCTTTCCTGTGCTACAAAATGGTAGAACAAATGTGGTGGCCTCAGAGAATGGATTTATTCTCTATACTTAACTCTTTTCAACTCTTTCTGGGTATTTCCACACCCCAGTTCAAGGAGGACTTGTACCTATACTTAATATCTTTATGTTGTTCATATTGTGTCTCCCACCCAGTTTTCAGCCCCATTTATACCACTGTTCCATGTCATATCCCAATCATTTCCTCTTTGGTTAAATATACCAAATAATAATAAATGTCTTATTACTGAAATTTCCCATACAAACTCTTTGATTTTGCCCCTCTACTCCTCTAGCCAAAACTAATACTTATGGGACTTTGAGATTAGTACAAGAGTGATAACTCAATATAATTTCAGTAGTCTAGATTTTCATCATTCCAAAGAATGATGAATTGAACTATTTATTGTAACTGGTTCTTGAGCTCCATTTTCATCTCAGAATCAGTCTACTAAACTCCTAAGATATTATATTCCCTAAATGTATAATAGTATATGTTGTAGTTCATATATGACCTAATCAAAGCAAAACGTTCCATGCCAACATTCAGATTTACCAAGTAACTAGAAAACATCTCTGCCTCCTTATCTGTCCAGATACATTACTGGTTACATTACTGGCTTCAGTCTTCCATTTCATTAACCCATGCACATCTGAATTTCTCATTACATTATTCAACCTATCTGAAATCCCCTTCCATGTTCCTCACTGCACATCCATGAAGATCTGAATCAAGCCCATGAAATAAAGGAAGGCTGGTCCAATTAAACTCCTCCCCCTCATTCTTTCATACATTGTGGTATAATCCTGCCCACTTTTATTTAAGGCTAGATAGATACTTTGTGTTTTCTAACTTGCTTGTATTTCCACTCCATCTTAAGTATTTATCCAAACTGAAATACAAAATCTGTTTGTTCTGATTATTTAACAGTTGCATTTCAAATCCTCTATGATGCTTTGTGCAGATCCATGCACACACAAACTTTTTAAGGTGCTTAACAAGTGTTCTTTTATCCAATCAGTTATCCCAAAAATTGTAGAAATTAACATGAAAACACAAAATGTAAGCAAATAACATTTTACCTGTTCCATTTTGATCAGGAAGCAATCAATAAAGTCTCGAGGATTGTTGATATCCAAGGTTTCTTGATGTTCTTTTATTTTCTCCAGAATATAACTTTTTATATCTTCAAAATTTTTAAGTACTGTATTATGACTCCCTGGGAGATATTTAACAATACCTGGGAAAGTACTGTAGAACTTAAAGAACAACAACAACAATATATAAATAAATATATATATACACGCATATATATGTGTATACACACACACACACACACACACACATGCATATTCATGAGGCTGGGTATGGTAACATACACTTTAGCCCAGCTACAGGAGAAGTTCAGTTGGAATCCCTTAAGCCCACAAATTTTATACCAGCCTGAGTAACATAGTTAGACTTCATCTTAAAGTAATCAAATTATAAACATACAATGAATTCTTACATACAATATTCTAACCTATAGTTTTTTAAGTAGGGTGAATAAAATTTGTCTCCATTTTAACTGATAACATTTGATTAAGTGAATAAGAGCATCCTCTATGCAGAAAAATAAAAGTAGAAACTGACCACATGATTAAAATCAATAAGAAACCTCAGTAGTATTTTTATTTTTAAAACATTTTTATGTCAATTCTTTTGCTTTTACTGTATCTTTAGGCGTTAGCTACATCAGTGGAATGTTGCTTAACTCTGTTACAATGGGAAAGCCCTACCGCTAGTAAAAGTTTCCCACCCCAAGTCCCTGAAAAAAAATGGCCTTAGCCGGGTGCTGGTGGCTCACGCCTGTAATCCTAGCTACTCAGGAGGCTGAGATCTGAGGATCGCGGTTCAAAGCCAGCCCGGGCAGGAGAGACCGTGAGACTCCTATCTCCAATAAGCTGTAGCTCAAGTGGTAGAGCGCTCGCCTTGAGCTGAAGAGCTGAGGGACAGCGCCCAGGCCCAGAATTCAAGCCCCACGACCGACAAAAAAAATAAATAAATAAATAAATGGCCTTAAACAAAGGACAGGAGCCATTTCTCCCTCTTCTGTGAGAGAATTGGCCTTGTCAGTCCCTGCTGACAATAAACTCCTTTTGTTGTATGTGATTGTGTATCTGCATATTTTTCTGGGCTGGTGCTTTCAGTTACCTAGAACCCTGGAAAGATAAAATGTCATGAATTGCTATTATTATCTTTTTATAGATGAAGACAGAGACAAATGAAGTTTGGACAACTTACTATGGAGCTCAGAGCTGCTCTCTCCTCTTTCAACTCCTAGCAACCAGCCTCAGGAGTAGAATCATGATTTTATAACTGGGAGGGGTCAAAGGTACCATGGTCTTAACTCAGAATTTTATGGATAAGTACATATACTTATCCCCTGTAAATTCAGACAGTTATCTTATAGGCAACTAGACAGCTCAAAAGGGTGATAATGTAATGTTTGGTTGAGTCCCTCCACTTTAAACAAAAAATCTAATTTTTTCATCCTGTGCTTCATCTCTTAACTAGGACCTCAGTTGAAGAATCAACAACCCCTACTCTTCAGAGGTTCCTGACAGCTTTATATTCCCACTCTATATACTTGATACCACAAATTAAACTTCTTCCAACTAATTGTGATAAAGAAGTCTCAAGATTTTACTGGAGGACTAGCCATGCATAATGGAAGCTTTTCAACAAGAACTCTGGAAGTTCACTGAGTGCTTAGATATGCTTGGACAGACACCAAAGAACTGCTTGGAAACTAGGTTAGTAGAAAAAAATCACCAGTCAATGGCCTTGACCACCAGCTCTACATTCAGGCCTTTGAAAATAAAGGCCTCAGCTTTCTTTTCCACGTGTTCCTGGAATGATGCTAAGACCAAGTCAGGACTATGGTATCCAATTAGTCATTTCCCATTAAACAACTCTAAGGTCCAGCTCCCCACAAAATTTCCAGGTCAAGAAAAAAATTGTCAGAATCTGTTTTGTACAAACTCTGGAAGAGTCAAATGCTTGCAAAACCAGTGAAAAGCAAAATGCCAAAAACAAACAAAGCAACTTGAAAATGGTAGGAAAGCCTTGTGGCATTGTTTTTGTCTTTGTCCCACACTTCTCCTCTTGGCTTGGCAGTGGCCTGACAACAGCAACCTTGCTCCTAGTGCAGGATCCTAGTTATTGGTTCCAGAGCAACAGAGTGATTTTCCAAGAACCAAGAAGCTGTCTCAGGACTACCAGGACTGCGGCAAGTACTTGTTTTTGTTTCATCTAAGGCAGACCTCACCAGGGTGGAAAATCAGCAAGGAATATTGTAACCTTTTACTGTCACTAAGCAATGCAGCACCACCTAGGTACATGTAAAGTATATAGTAGGTATCAAAACCCTAGAAATAAGGTGGGAAGAGAGTATCTTTGAAAAATTATGACATTCAAAAGCCCCCAGTAGTGTGGACCTAAAAGAGCTATGAACATGCCCAGTGTATGTGACAGGCTATGAAAAGACCTGGAAAGACCTCTGCTGATTTAAATAAAGGCTGTACATAATAATAAGCAATTTATAAGCCATGTCTCAGCACACAGCCAAGATAGATGTTTTCCCCTGCTTTTTCCTGCCTTTTCTCTATCCTCCTTCCTTATAATTCACTCCCTCCTCCTCTCCTCTTCCTACCTGCCCCTTTCTTTTTCTCTTTTTGATTCCTTGTATTCAAAGAAGTCTCTGTCAAAACTAGCTGCACAAGGTATATATATATATATGCATACACACACACATACTTCATGATAGTTTAGAAAAGTCACTCAATGAATGTTGAAAGAAGAAAGGCAGGGTGGGAGTTAAAAGTGAAAGGAAGGAAGGAAGGAGAAAAGAAAGACAAGCAAAAAGATAAAAGCAGGAAAATCAAGAAAGATGCAAAATCTTCATCCCAGACAAAATTCTGTAAACCAAGCTATGAGATGAATGTTTGGAAAAGCAGACACATTTAACACTAATGTAGAATTTTGGATTTATCAAAGAAATTATCGTAAAAGTGCTGGGAATGTAGCTTACTGTTAGAGAGCTTGCTTTGCTTGCATGAGGCCCTGGGTTCCATTCCTCAGCACCACATAAGCAGAAAAAGCCAGAAGTAGCACTGTGGCTCAAGTGGTAGAGAGCTAGCCTTGAGCTGAAGAGCTCAAGAAAAGCACCCAGGCCCAGAGTTCAGACCCCATGACTGACAAAAAAAAAAAATCTGTGAATAAATCAAATGATCTAGGGAAATAAAGGCAAACATTTTTAAAAAAAATAAGCATAGGTGGTTCATTAGGAAGAAAAAAATCTTAATCTTACCTGTATCCATGGAGAGTTCAAAATCTTAAAGTTTTCATTGAATTTTTTCATCAAATTAAGAAATATTTTATCTTTATAATCAAAACGATTCTGGAAAACAATGGAGCAGATGACATTGCAGGGAGCACAGCCCAGAATGAAGGTGGGGTCACAGGGTGCGCCTGAAGAATTGTAAACATTTTTTAAAATATAGTTTATATATACATATCAAAGTTCTTGTGTTTTAACTTACAAAGAATGGTAATGTTAAAGCCTATACAGCAATATTGACACAGAAATTGCCTAACAAGAATAACTTTCATATGATTAAACTCTGTCACTTTCTTTTTAAACCTCTATTGGCCATTCTCACAGTATACTTAATAATCCAAATTCTGATGACTAAGAACCCATGCTATTATATAATCTCACTTTATGTGCATGATTTTGACACAAAGTCCCATTGTTTTAAAAGCTACAGGAAAAAATGTTTAAAATGTACCTTTTCAAAACCAAGAAATAATTCAAATTGTTAGTGAAGAATGATATCTGGAAAGCTTGCAGAAAGCTAAGAAAAAATAGCAACCTAAAACCCTTTTATAGATAATACACAGTTGAGGGAACTCTATGTATACTCAGTAGAGGAAGAATAGAAGAAAGAAAGACCATAGGAAATACAGGTATTTCCTGGAGTAAATGTAAAAATACAAACAAAATTAAACAAAATATTAAATGAAAATAAATTCTTTTGAAATTAGCACATACATGTGGGAGCAAAACAAAAGTAAAATAAGAAGTCTTCATTTTAAATTTAAATCCATTTTGAGGAAACTCAGTTAAATTGATAAACCGAATTCTTTTATTTCAGTATTAAAAAAGAAAACAGTAGTAATTTCTTGCTCTATAATATAGAATCCACCCTTATCAACAAGATCCTACATTTAATTTATTTGTTCAAGGCTTGTCCTCTTATGGAATTCTTGGTTACTACTCTGTGTAACCACTAGCAGAATACTGTATGGCACTGTAAATTTTTTGATTTGACCATCACTCAGGTCAATTCTATCTATACACCAAAAATGAAAAGAAATTAAAACGGAGGAAAAATTAATTTTGGATAGACAATATTATCAATATAATTACTGTCTTCAAATCACCAACAAATAATATGTAAAAACCTTCACATTACAGATATAATTAAAGGTAATCTATATGAAAAGTGTCTGGGTTGGAGATCTGGCTCAATGGTAGAACACTTTCCTAGCATACACAAACTTGGGCTCAACCATAAGCACCACCTTAAAAGCAGTGTTACAGAGAAATAATGGGTATATAATAGAAACGTGTATTTAACCAACCAGATGCCCCTCAGTAGATGAATGGATCAAGAAAATGTGTTATATATACACAATGGAATTCTATGCCTCAATCAGAAAGAATGACATTGCCCCATTTGTTAGGAAATGGAAAGACTTGGAAAAAATTATATTAAGTGAAGTAAGCCAGGCCAAAAGAAACATAGGTCCCATGGTTTCCCTTATTTGCAATATCTAGTATATGTCTGAGTCAAGCAGAAAAGGTCAGATAAGTTGATGTTAGGGAAATGAACCCTAAGCTATGTATTCAAATGTTTTTTTCTTTCATGCGATTATTTCTAACACATTTATAAAATTATTTCTTTGTTGCTTTGTATGTCCCTCCCCAACGGTATAACCTCTGCTTTCACTGTATTTGATGTTGTCATAGTTTGTGAATGGGAAGGGAAAAAACAAATTGTTTAAATAGGGATACAGGTGGACCCATTGCAACAATGAGACGTACAAGTCGTTATGTCAAAAACGAATCTTACAACTTTGGTTGGGAGGGGGGAGGGCTGAGGGGGGCAGGGGGAGAAAAAATAAAAATAAATAAAAAAAGAAACATGTGTATTTAATAGTTGGTATGAGCAGCATTGTTTAGATGAGATACCAGCAAACTAAGCTTTCAGAGAAACTTTTATTTTTACCATGGGAAATAAGGCATAATTTGAAATTATTAAATTGAAATTTTCTTGGCTATGTATTTCATATTGAAAATCCAATTCCAGTCTTTCCCTCCATTTAGGAGAAAAGAAAAACACTAAGGTGATTTAGAACCCAAAGTAGAAATCAGACTCATTGCAATAAGCGGTTTAAGGATGAGTGCAAGCTGAGCACCGGTGGCTCACACCTGTAATCCTAACTACTCAGGAAGCTGAGATCGCAGTTCAAAGCCATCCTGGGCAGGGCAGGAAAGTCTGTGAGACTCTTATCTCCAAGAAACCACTAGAAAACTGGAATTGGCGCTGTGGCTCAAGCGGTAGAGCACTTACCTTGAGCTGGGCAGGGACAGCACCCAAGCCCAGAGTTCAAGCCCCATGACCAACCAAAAAGGAAAAAAAAATTGTAAGTTCAACTGGTTGTGAGGGGGACATATTTTAAGAGCTCTAACCCCACATCCAAAGGCTTTAAAATGCACTTGGGATTTTGTTTGTATTCAGGGATGGTGAGATCTACAAACCAGGAAAAGACTAGTACTTATCCATAGTTCCCAAGCTAAGGAGACATGATACTCCATGCTGGACCAAACCAGAAGCATCAGGTTTGGTCAGGAAGCAGAAGGACAAATAGAAAACAAGGAACAGTGTCCTCGATAAGGGTTTCACAGTAAATACTGAGCAAAAAAGGTAGGCACACTGAGTAAGCTTCAGTGTTCAAGCTTCAGTTATTCAAGCCTGGATAGCGCAAATAATTTCAGCAGGCTCTGGACAGTAAGGATGGTCGCTAGTTATCCCATATCTAGCCCTGTGGTGATTCAAAGAGAGAGAAATGTTAAGATTGGTGCATGAGAATTTGATAAAGAGGGTGACTGGAAGAATATGCTCTGGCCAGGCTGGTTTGCACCTCAAAAGTACTCATGCTTTCTAACCCAGGATTGCCTGTTTCTGGGAGGGGAGAGCTATCTCTAGGTCTGAAAGGCAAGCATGATATCAAAGGATTCTAAAATACAGAAAATAAAAAACTGAAATTATATACAAATAATGAGGAGGGCAAATACAAAGAAATTTTAGAACAAAGCCAACTTACAATTAGTGAAGATGTAGCAAAGAGATGAAAGGGAAATATATTAAAATAAATGATTGGGGGGGGGCAGGGGGAGGCTGGGAAGGGATGTGAAGGGTAAACAAAGGAGGAGGCTGCAATACTTGATAAGAAATGTACTCATTATCTTGCCCATGAATTGTAACCCCCTCTGTACAATATGTTCACAAAAAATAAAATAAAATAAAATAAATGATTCATTACCTTGGTATTTGTATATTTGAAGAATTTTTCTATAGTCTATATTTACTCATGAAATATAGAACAATACAGTAAGTAATGAATAACATTAAACCACAGCAGCTGATATTTTTAAATGGTTCTGTGTTTTTTTGTTTGTTTTTGTCAGTCATGGAGCCTGAATTCTGGGCCTGGGCATTGTCTCTCAGCTCTTCAGCTCAAGGCTAGTGCTCTACCACTTGAGCCACAACACCACTTCTGGCTTTTTCTGCTTATGTGGTGCTGAGGAATGGAACCCAGGGCCTCATGCATGCAAGGCAAGCACTCTACCACTGAGCCCCTTCCCAGCCCCAAAATGATTCTGTGTTTACAGAGAAAACACAATGAGGCTGTATTTAAATGATATCATGTCAAAAATAAAGGCACAGAGCCGGGCGCCAATGGCTCATGCCTGTAATCCTAGGCTGAGATCTGAAGATCGCAGTTTAAAGCCAGCCCAAACAGGAAAGTCTTTCTCCAATAAACCACCAGAAAACCAGAAGTGGTGCTGTGGCTCAAGTGGTACAGTGGTAGTCTTGAGCTGAAGAGCTGAGGGACAGCACCCAGGCTCAGGGTTCAAGCTCCACGAGTAGGAAAGGAAAGGAAAGGAAAGGAAAAGAAAGGAAAGGAAAGGAAAGGAAAGGGAGGGAGGAAGGGAGGGAGGGAGGGAAGAAGAGAGAGAAAGAAAAAAGAAAAAGAAAGAAAGGAAGGAAGGAAGGAAGAAAGGAAGGAAGGAAAGCACAGATAAATATTTTTCCTGGCAGATATAGATAGGGTCTTGGAACAAACCCAAGCATGTCATTGAGACTGAAATAACAAACACCAACAAAGTAATAGTGCATGTCACTTTCTCAAACTCTGTGTGTGAAGATGTGCTAAGACCATCACCATCGTATTCCATGAAACATAATCCCCAGTGAAAAGTTCTCAAAGAACTAAACTATAATTAACTTTATTAAATAATGCTCAAATTTTCTAACTTCATGACGTATAGATTCAAAAACAATTAAGCTGAGAAACATAGGATCATACAAGCAACTTACACTACATGGTCCTTACAAAAGGACAGAAACACAAATGCTTCCCTGGCTTTCTGCATGCCACCATCTTTCCTACACATGAGGTCTAAAAATGTATCCAAACAAAATATCTTGTCAGGGCTGGGAAGGTGGCTCAGTGGTAGAGAGCTTGCTTGCATGCATGAGGCCCTGGGTTTGATTCCTCAGCACTATATAAGCAAAAAGAAAAAAGCCAGAAGTGGCCCTATGGCTCAAGTGGTAGAGCGCAAGCCTTGAGCTGAAGAGCTGAGGGACAGCGCTCAGGCCCAGACCCTCCCCCCAAAAAAATCTTGTCAGTAACCCACCATTGCTTCTTCTCAACTCCTTCACAAGGCACTGGGCTTCTTCTTGAACACGTTCTTCAATGCTCCTCTTCCCCATTCCGAAATTCCTCAGAGTCATAAGTGAGAAGCGTCGCATCTCCTTCCATTTCTTTCCATTGCTGAAAACGATTCCTAGTGGAATGAGAAACACAAACTAGGAGGAATATCTCAGACAAAGAAAAAGCAGATACATGGAAGTCATACGGATGGCCAAGATCTGCCTGAGGAACTCAAGTCTCATCCCCAAGACCACTGGCTATTGCACACAGGAACACACATACACACTCGCACTTACCATGGCCTCTATTGCTTCTTGCAATAATTGGGAAAACACTTCTACCAGAAAACTCCTCTCCAAAATCTTCCAAGGCTTCCTTTACTGCTTCATATCCATGCACCACCACAGTGGGTTTCATACCAAAATATACAGTGAACACAGGGCCATAGACTTTTGAGAACTGTAAAGTGGAAACGAAGTTAAAAGAGTAGGAAAAAAAGTCAGCATTTGGACTATCCATTGTACACAATTAACTGATTATATAATCATACCAGTGATATTTTTATTCTGACAAATACAACTTTAAATGTTGGAGAATTTCATACAGACATAAGAGACCAATTGTTAGCCATGCTACTTGCAGAATAACTCCCCTTGCCCAGAAAATTAAGGAAGTACTATGCAAACTATCCCAACTAGTCACCTCCTTGACCTATGGTTATTGACTCTGTTTTATAGGTATATAACCTGAGGTTCAAAGAAATTCAAATTTCTGTCTGCACACAATAGTTAATAAGTAGAAAGTCCAAATATGAACCTTGCTTAGTCAATACTCAAGGAATTTACCTGTGACCTTTTGCTTACATTTGATACTAAATGCAGCTGCTGTAAACAGTATCCCTGTGATAATAAATACTATTAATCTCCCCAGTACATGGTTGAGTTTGGATCTGCTGATATTAATAATAACTCGGGCAGAGGGCAAGCAATGTGAGAATATGCACTTCATGCCATGGAAGGAAACTTACTTCCATGTGCTCACTCCAAAGTCACAGACACAGTTTTTTTTTTGTTTTTGTTTTTATTTTGGGTCCGGTCATGGGGCCTGAACTCTGGGCCTGGGCACTGTCCCTCAGCTCTTCAGCTCAAGGCTAGCGCTCTACCACTTGAGCCACAGCGCCACTTCCGGCTTTTTTCTGTTTGCTTATGTGGTACTGAGGAATAGAACCCAGGGCCTCATGCATGCAAGGCAAGCACTCTACCACTGAGCCACCTTCCCAGCTCACAGACCCAGTTTTGTATAACACCTAAGTCCATTTTTATCCCACCTACTTCTTTTCACTTATTTGTATTTATGTATGTATTTATATATATATTTACTGTAGAACCATAGGCATTTCCTAGACTCCAAACATAATTTGCTTCTTTGGAAAAGCTTAAATATGACTGCCAACCTAAACAAAACACACATCATATACAGTATACAACTCTAATCTCTAAAAAATTTTATTACCATTTATTTCAGACAAACTATCATAGCAAATGACTGAAACAAAGAAGCATTAGAAATGCTTTATATTCTAAATCTAACTTACCACTTAAGTGTGTCTGTACTGGCAAAATGAACTATGTCGTTCTAGTACTTCTGACAATGACACACCAAACATAATCACATCCACAAGAAATATTTGCCTTGTAATAAAGGAATTTAATTCCAGCAATGTATCTTACTGAATGTATTTTATTTCACAACAGCAGCACAAAACATACTTACATTTGTCAGGGCTTTGCTGATGTCCTTAACATTGATCTGCAGGATATTTCCTATAATTGGGAGAGGAGTGGGGCCAGGAGGAAGCCTCCCCCTCCCAGAGCTCTGTCTCCAGAGTGAAAGGAGAAGCAGGCAGGAGAGACCCAGCACCAAGATCACAATTGTATCCATTGAGGCCTTCTCTTCTTGCTGAGACAACTGTGTGCTTGCAACCCAGAGCTTTTATAACATTCTCTGCAGACTTAATTTGTGACAATCTCATGTTTATTCAATTGTGCAATCAGCCAAGGGCTATTAAGTCTCCTGACTGAACTTTGAACACTATAAACACAAAAATAATGTGTTCTTATTCTCCTGTTGCCCAGCCCTGAGATTGTTGTATAATTAATCTGCTGTAGTCTTTTACACACTATTTTTTAAAAAAATTTTATTAGTGTATATTAATTGTATGAAAGGATTTCATTTTATTTCCACCACTTGCTGAAGAAGCTATCTTTTACCCCAACACATATTATGGACCCATTTATCAAAAATTTGGGTGTGGGCTTATGGATTCATTTTTATGTTTTCTGAACTAGTCCATTGATGTTAGGGTCTGTTTTTTGGCCAGTACCATGAGGTTTGTTATTATGGCTCTGCCATATAATATTTAAATTTGGTACTCTGGTACTGAATTTTGTTCAAGATTGTATTATATGGGGCCTTTTATATTTCCTTATGATTGTCAGGATTATTTTTGTTAGTTCTGTGAACAATGTCCCTGTGTTGTGGTATATATACTTGTAATCCCAGCATTTAGGAGGCCAAGACTTCAGAAGAATAAATTCCAGGTCAGTTTTGGTTACATAGTGAGTCCAAAGTTACATAGTAAGATCTTACCACCAAAAAAACAAAACAAAAACAAAAACACACAAACAAGTAAATGAAATACGACAATACAATACCTTCACACTTACATTCAGTGAGGCAATATTCATAATAATCTAGTTATGAAATCAGCCTAGGTGCTTATAATTAGATGAATGAAGAAAATATACTGTATATGCAATAGAGTATAGTTTAGCAAGAATGAATAAAATCATGTCATTAGCAGCTTGATGTTTGGAACTGGAGATCAACAGTCTAAGCATCTACCTTAAGAAACTTCACCATTGCTCGGTGCCAGTGGCTCAGGCTTGTAATCCTAGCTACTCAGGAGGCTGAGATCTGAGGATCATGGTTTAAAGCCAGCCGGGGCAGGAAACTCCATGCAACTCTTATCTCCAATAAACCATCAGAAAACTGGAAGTGGTGCTGTAGCTCAAGTGGTAGAGCATTAGCCTTGAGCTGAAGTGCTAAGAGACAGTGGTTAGGCCCAGAGTTCAAGCCCCATAACCAACAACAGCAATAAAAAAAAAGAAACTTGATCAAAAAGTTCTAATTAACTTCAAAGTAAATAGAAGAAAAGAGCATAACATTTCATATAAAATCAAGGAAACTAACACAAGACATTAGACAAGTATAGAAAATAGCCTTTTTTCTCATGCCTGCCTAAAACATTAAAATTGTTCATTTGCCAATCAAGAAGGTTCAAATGAAATTAACACAGTCATACTTACCACTTTGTTTTTAGGCTGTTTTCATATGTTTAATAGCCATTTCTATTTCTTCTTCTGTAATATGTCCAATCAAATTCTTTGCCCATGTTTCCCTTTGTATTGTTTTAGAAGTTATTCAGCTATACTGCTTAGCACAGAACAGCAACAAGCTGCCAACCAACCTGTGTAAGAATGTGTGATGTTTATAAGTTCAGTTTTCTATGCACTAAAAATGGCAAGAGGTAAATTACTTCATTGCCATAGCATTAAATTCTATCACATTTATAAAAAATGTAAAACAAGATGTAGAAAGTAGAAAACTAACACAGTCTGGTAAAGTTTACCCAGGATTTTGTTCTTATTTGAAGAAAGAATAACAATCAGAACATATGATAAACAATACAGACACATAAATTCCTTCTTAGTTCTAAGTTGGAAACATTCAGTTCTTTGTATTCACAATACACCAAGTCATAGGTATGAATTCTAATACCTAATGTTATGCCTGTGACAGTTCTGCCCAATTTTTTCCTATAGTCAAGAGTTGTTCCTGGATGTAGTTTCTCTCTTTCAAATCCAAATCTTCAGTAACTGTATGTGACACTCTACAAAGACAGCTTTTCTACTTTCTTCTTCTTGTCCATTTTCTATGCAAATCATTAGCAGAAACAGCATGGCCTCTTGAGACTATATTTTTTCATTTATTTATTTTTAGATATTCTATTAATTATCTTTAGTTGCACAAAGGGGTTTCAATTCAACACATTAGTTGGTGAGTACAACGCATCTTGATCAATGTCACCTCTGTCAACATTCTCTTCCATCTTTCCCAACTCTCCCCATCCTCTCAATTTACCTGCTTCCACTTTCACATATGTACATTGAATGTTATAACTGCATTCACAAACCCTTCCCCTCTCCATTCATCTGCCCTCCCTTGACCTTACCCCTATCCACAGCACAATTTTTTTTATATATTACCTGCATTATGCACCGAAGAAAAGCCTGAGTATTGATCTAGCAATTAATAACAATTTTTATTCAGAACATTCAGGGACAAATAGCTCTGAATGGTCATATTCTAATCATTTGCTGTTTGACAGTGGAGATGTACTAGTAACTTGGCATCTGATAAGTTATTAGCACTTGTATTAAATTCAAGTATCACAGGATATAAAGAGAATTGTGGATGTAATTGTTCAGTAACCCAGGTAAACTCTCTTCTTTATTTCTCTTAAAGGGAGTTGTACGTGTACTGGATCTTGAGTGAATGGACATAGGTGAGAGAAGAACTAAGGAAAGGTATCCGTGATATTGGAAAGGAAGTGGATAATGGCTCTGTGGAGGAAGAGTTAACAGCACAGCAGTACCTAAGCACCCTACTCTTCACACAGGAACAAAGTAGAGCAGGTACAAAGGTGGCTCACGACCAAACCCATGACAATTGGGATGGTCTCAATGTTTTCTAGATCAACCAGAAGTTTCAAGTTAAAATTCTGTAAAATGGTGGTCAGGAACCAAAACTACTCCATGCGTGCCAGGCCCTCTCTTGCAGACATTCTTTATCCTGAAAAATAACAAGATTTGTATTATCTTATACATTGTGTTGTAAACTGTCCCCCAAAAGATGCAGTAACCAGTTGGTAGATAGTCAATCAAATGGATGGATCAAATACAGGAAGGCTGGAAAGATGGTTGAATAAACTTGCATGCAAGAAGCCATGTGCTGGTGGCTCATGCTTGTAATCCTATCTATTCAGGAGGCTAAGATGTAAGGGATCTCAGATCAAAGTCAGCCCAGGCAGGAAAGTCCAGGAGACTCTTATCTCCAATTAATCGAAGAAAAGTCTCTCTCATTCTGTCCTGTTTAGCTAAAAGCACTATGTGATACTTTCTTCAGGACATATGTCCTGTGTCATCTCCTCTGTATGATCCTTGTGATCCTTTCAGGCAGCAGAATTTCCTCATCAAGTGTGTACGTCCACAGAAGCTCATATCACCTTGAGTCCTATTTTAAGTTATTTTTTGCCTCTCAACCAAAATATGAGTCAGTCTGTTGTATCTAAACATGCGTAGTACCAGACCCAACATAAGCATTAAAACCTAGCATAAGTGGAAGGAAACGCTATGCATGGTTTCTCAATACTGAACAACTTAGCAATAATATTGAATGTCCAAAATGCATGGTTATGAACATAGGAAGACCAACATGCTGGGAAATAATTGCGAAGTTATTATTCCACATTCTCAAATTTTTCCCAGCATTTAATTGGCAGGTTCCAACCCCCTTATTCTATACAAAATGTTCTCTCTATACACCATTATCTCAGCAAAGTACCTTGCATTCTCTCCTTTCCTTGCTTTCTGTCTTCTGTAAGCCAGCTCAACAGTCCTTTCTCCAATATATAACTAGGAATATGTTTCGGTGTATGTTTCCCTCCTTAGCTCTCTAGAAACCTGTGCACCCTTCTCTCACTGTCCTACTTCTACTATATTGCTTTGATTGCTTTACTTATCTGTTTTCTTGATACATGAATATTTTTAAAACCCCATTATATTCTGTAGGATACTTTCATCCCCAGAGCTCAGGCTGGCAGTGAGGGACATTATAAAAGAAACACTCAAAATGTGGACACAGATACCTTTTGTATGTCAGGTGAAGTGAATTTCACTTTTAAGAGGAGCTCCTGGGCAGCACAGTGATTTACCCAGAAGCAGAGTTCAATTGACTTACACTCTAGCTCTCAATTTGAATAAACTGTACTAGATACTCTGTAAAGCCCTACTACTGTGGCCAAATAATGAAGACTTAAGACAAGTCAGTGAAAGCGGATGGGCATTGGAATTGGTACTCATGACAGTATACAAACAGCTGGTCTACCAACTTCCCTCATGGAAATTGCCTCTGTTCCTAAAAAGTTATCTTGCAAAGTACAAACAGAAATGAATTTCTCTTATCTGTTGAGAAAGGCACAAAATAGTCACTTTTAAGAAAAGTGACTCTCAACTATAAAGTGACCAAGATCAAACGTCTCTGGGTTGGAGAATTCCTTGTCATCATACAGCACAGAAGTCAGTGATGTTATTATGGTTGTACCCTGGATATAACAAATAAAGCAAAATTTGAGTAGAAAGAAAGGATGGAACACACCTGTCTAATCAACTTCGTTTACAACTGAAGATCTCAGGTTCCCAAAATAACAATCTCATTTCCAATTAGAAAGACTAATAACAACGATGAATTTAAGGGTAGGAGCAGTGACTATGTTAAAGGGTCCCCAGTTAGAAGTTCAAGGACTGAATTCAGAGAATTTGGGTGGAAAAAGTTCTAAATTACCTCTATTTATCACTAAGGTTTAAACACTGATGTTTGTTCCTGTGCATTCTTCTAGTGTATCACTTCTGTTACTTACATAGCATATGTGGATTACAGTATAAAATGGAAGCCTATGCTTGCTCTTGAAAAGTTGGGAGTTTTTAGAATTCTTTCATTTGGGCTTTTTTAACTGGAGATCTTATCTAATTAGTGATGACTTCTGGGGTTATATCCACAAGTTCACATGTACTGAGTGCTTATCATTGGGATTCAATGTGTTTTTGATACAT